GGTCTGACATTGTCATATAATATATATATATATATATATATATATATATCTATATATATATATATATATATATATATATATATATATATATATATATATAACTGAAAACTCACACCCCAGAAGTGACTCGAACCCATACTCCCAGGAGCAACGCAACTGGTATGTAGTTTTCAGTTGCATATTGTCCTGGGGACCATTCAGGCTTGTTCGCATTTGTGTTCCTCACGTATGCCCCAAAGAATGAGGTGATTTGGTAAAATGCTATGCCCAAGATTACTATCCGAGTGCCGGCGGTGGGGTGGTTCAAATAGCTTAGGCTATCACCTCATTATGTCCGGTCGTGATGGTCAAGTGGATTAAGGCGTCTTGTACATACCAGTTGCGTTGCTCCTGGGAGTATGGGTTCGAGTCACTTCTGGGGTGTGAGTTTTCAGTTGCATATTGTCCTGGGGACCATTCAGGCTTGTTCGCATATATATATAATATATATATATATATATATATATATATATATATATATATATATATATATATATATATATATATATATATATATATATATATATATATATATATACACAGTGGTACCTCGCATAACAAATTTAATCCGTTCCATGTTTGTCATGTGAAACGGACGTCATACAAAACGAGTGTCCCCCCATGTAACCAGTGTGATGCATTGTGTTTATTGTGAAATTCCCCCAGAGTGCATGACATCAAATGTTCCCCAAAATATCATTTTTCTTTGCAAAATGATAAATTACCGTCCCTGAACATGTCTGTAAAAATAATTACCAAATTCCACTTACTTTGGCTGTGAGGGCGTGGACAAGGTGCACTGCGACGTCATCAGGGCCTGGTCGCCCGTGTGTGAAGCTCCCAGACATGGTCGCGCAGGCCATTCAAGCACCGCGTGTTGCCACAAATATATTTTCAAATATTTTTTCTATGTATTTCCAATGCGGTTTTATTTGTTTCTTTTATCGTAATATGATGCATATTTGTGACCTTTACAATATGTATACAGTAGAATGTTCATAATTTTCCATGGAACTGTAATACATGTGTCAGTAATGTGTCCACAATAAATGTTTATTGTCACAATATTACATGGTAAAAATTCACTAAAATTACAATATGTACAGTTTCACATACTATTTACACAGTAACACACTGTATTACACACTCAGTACTTTGGAGGTGCGTAATAGTCAACGAAGTAGTCCATGGTACACAGTGCGACTTTGCTCTCCTTACACCAGCTACAGATAGATTTTCGTTTCCTGTTTCATCGTTCTGTGTGCTTGCAAATAACGCACTCATGTGCACCCTTGGCTTTAGTACTTGTAGGTGGTATGTAGCCAAGCTTGTAAAGCATAAGGTAGTATTGAAATGATTATAGGAAAAGCTCAATTTGTAAGGTAGTCTTGAAAAGATAGCTTTGTAAGGTCCTACACAGGAAGAGATTCAGCTATCCTCTAAGAGTGTCCATCAGTCAGGAAGAGATTCAGGTATTCTTGAAAATATCAATGAACACCACCACCATGGAAGCCGCTAACACTTCATCTATGCTACTTGTATCAGATGCATCATCACTGAATGCAGAAAACGATTCATCTATGTATCATCTATATAAATTTGAGATGGCAAGGGTGGGGCTCAGAGCTACACCTGGATACGCTCTCTGTATCATCCTCATAGGTGCTGTATCACTGGCATCCGACCGTTGTGTTAAGCCCTTATTGCGCCTAGCTTCACCAATGTTATGACCCTTATGTTCTTCAAACAATAGAGTCTGAATTGCACTGACTGAGCGCAGTATTTCAACACCGTGTCGGACAGGTGTTTGAGAGCCAGAGGCACGTGTGCCACAAATGGTTGCTCACGTAGTACCTTTAAAGAACACAATAAAGTAGCCGTCACAACTGGAAGAAAAATGACAGGTTGGATAACAAGAACTTTTTACACTAGAGATGCTATACCGATGATGATACTTTTCAAAACGCTTGTGCTCTCTAGAGTGGAGTACTGCTGCACAATGACAGCACCTTTCAAAGCTGGAGAAATTGCTGACCTGGAGAGTGTGCAGAGATCCTTTACTGCTAGAATCCACTCAGTAAAACATCTAATCTATTGGGACCGACTAAAGAGCCTAAAACTGCACTCCCTTGAGCGCAGGCGGGAGAGGTACATAATAATTTACACGTGGAAAATAATAGAGGGGCTGGTCCCAAACCTACACACAGAAATAACATCACATGAGACCAGAAAACATGGCAGGATGTGCATAATACCCCCGTTGAAAAACAGAGGTGCAACAGGTACTCTGAGAGAGAACTCTATCAACATCAGAGGTCCGAGATTGTTCAACACGCTTCCACTACACATAAGGGGCATAACTGACCGACCCCTCACAGTGTTCAAGAGAGAACTGGATAAGCACCTCCAAAGGATACCTGATCAACCAGGCTGTGACTCATACGTCAGGCTGCGAGCAGTCGCATTCAACAGCCTGGTTGATCAGTCCGGCAACCAGGAGGCCTGGTCGACGGCGGGGACGCTAGGCCCCGGAAGCACCTCAAGGGAACCTCAAGGTAGGCTGCTCCATTATGACAATCTTTCTTTGTTTCAAATGTGTTGCATTTGTTTTGTATTTGTCACTTACGTCTCAATAATGGAGCAGCCTACCCGACAAACACTGAATGAACCTTTATGGCATTTGTCCATTTTTCAAATTGTTTCAACATTTCTTTTATTTTTCGTTTTTTTTTTTATTTAACAAACATGGAGCAGCCGACCTGTAAACCACCGAACGAACCTTTTTGACATTTGTACTGGTTTTCAAAATTCCTCATTTTTTTTTATTATTTACGTTTTTTGTATGTAAGAAACATGGAGCAGCCTACCTGCCAACCACCGAACGAACCTTTTGCTATAAGACAAATGAAAAATAAATATTGAACACATTTGAAGAAAGGAAAATGTCATAATGGTTTATTCAGTGTATGTAAGGTAGGCTTCTCCATTATTGAGACGTAAATGACAAATACAAAACAAATGGAACACATTTGAAACAAAGAAAGATTGTTATAATGGAGCAGCCTACCTGCCGAACACCGAACAAACCTTTTTGACATTTGTTGTATATCAGACATTTCATTTCTTTTTTCCTACAAAAACATCAATGCTTTGCAACATCTCAGCAGTCACCCTTTTATATCCCAGCATCATTAGCATCTTTAAACAAGAACAACATAATTTATGTGCATCGTCGGAGGCGTCTAAGAATGTGCAAGAAGCAGCGCGACCCCACCGTGTGGTGTTGACGTTACTCAAACCAGCGTTCGTCATACGGGACAATTTGACGCCGATCGGGCCGTTCGTTACCCAAAATGTTCGTCTTTTGGGGCGATCGTTATGTGAGGTACCACTGTGTATATATATATAAATAAATAAATATATATATATATATATATATATATATATATATATATATATATATATATATATATATATATATATATATATATATATATATATATATAATATTAGTTATTTTACTAGTAATATTTTGAAGAATAAATGTATATCTGCTTACATATCTATGTTTATAGGTAACTCATGATGTTTATAACTTTTAACTTGTATACTCTAATAATTATATTCTTACACTTATAATCTAAGAATTAACAAATTGGTAACAAAGAAGTTGGTAAATTCCCCGATGTTCTCATTGATAACAAGCCACATTCAAAATATAGCTAAAAAAGTTTCTAAAACAGTTTGCATTTTTTCTAAAATCAGATATTATGTTCCTCGCCCTGCCCTGGTAATGTTCTATTGCTCTCTCATCTATCCTTATCTCAATTATGGTATATGTGGCTGGGGTTCTACTTCCCAAAATCATCTACGTCCTCTAATTACTCAACATAAATCTGCTATTAGAACAGTAACAAACTTTGGCCTCAGACAGCACTTGGTCCCCTTAAATCTTTGAATATGTTAGATATTAAGTCACTGCACATCCTCTCAAGTGTACTCTATATATACTGTATAAAACTCTGAACTGTAATACCAATCCTGACCTTAAATGCTTCCTAGAAGGTTGTAACAGAACTCATGGGCACCACATTAGAAACATATATCTATTTGATATTCCAAGAGTGTGACTTAACCAAACTAGATGTTAAACCAAACTCACCAAAACTTAACCATTCCAAAATGTGGAATGACCTTCCCAATCATGTCAAAGACTACCCCTCTCTCAACCAGTTTAAGAGAAAAACTAAGTACTACCTAATCAACTCCATGTAACCTACTTTACTTCCTAAATGTCAACCTATGTCTTGCTATTTTCAAACAATATTGATTAATGACCAACTTGTATAACTGCTGATATCTGCCATGTATGAACTTAAAGAAAATTGTATTGTAATCTGTCTGTATGATTTGTTAAAATTACTTCTGCTGTTCTGTTGCAATTTCTGCTGTTCCATCCAGCATATAATTATTTTTCCCCCTATTTCAGTTCAATTCATGCATTTGATCTCAATTAGTTTTAAGTCTTAGTTTTTAAGTGTGTTTCACACAACATGCCCAAAACTGTGTGTATTAGTGGCTTTAGGCATAGTACAGTATATACTAGCGCTATCTAGAAATCCAACATTCTGTTTGTAACTCATTTTGTATGCACTGTACTAGTATGTACTTTTACCATCATGTATTTATGTCTGTAGGTTAAATTAGCATTTTAAAAGCACTACAATCACCTTCTGTGGTTGATTGGTCAATAAATCCCAGACCTATATGTTCAACAGATCTCTCACCCCTGTCCATGCAGGACAGAAGAAAATGTATACATGCTGATTAGCATTGTAAATGTGTGGCCACATCTGTGGTAGAAAATTATAATAATAAAAAAAGTACTTCTTCGTGAATAAACATTATTATTATTATTATTATTATTATTATTATTATTACTGTACTGTATATATTTATATCTGCAGGTGACAGGTTTAGTCGAAGTCCAAATCTCCAGGTGGCTGCCCCACCAGATGTAGTGCAGGTTGCTGACATTGGACATGTTAACCTCCATCCACATGCCCTGCCACACCCCTTGGAGGAGCCCTTTCAGGCAAGTCTTGCTAAATTGAGTGATGCCGGTACTGCATAATTTTATAATTATTTGTGATAAGGGAAAAGTAGTCCTGCCCAACAGGAGGTTTTGAAAGAAAAAACTTCTCCAATGGCCATGTTTCTGTCATCCTGCTGCTGTGTTTAAAGCTATATTGACTGATAATACTATATATTCTACAGTTTTAAGTGTATGTTCCAGTACAGTACTTATGTGCACAACAGTTTATTACCTAGTTCAGTGGCTCCCAACTCTCTTACTTATCATAGTAACTAATTTTGAAAATGTGTTTGGAGTTAGTCTGAGTTCTCTCACACAGAAGTGTCTTCCTACATGCATAAGGCTCTATAAATTCTAGTTTCCACCAATGTCTTTTTACAGTGGTACCTCGGTTTAAGAGTTTAATCCAGTTCCTGGAGACAGCTCGTAACCACAAAACTCGTAACCCGAACCTAATTTCCCTATAAGAAATAATGGGAAATGATTCAATCCGTTCCAGACTACCCAAAAACCTCACTTCAAACTAAATTTTATACATAATTCATCTAAATCTACACTACAAAACTATGTTCAAGTTATTACTTACCATTGGTGATGAATGCTCTAGGCATATGGACGATGGTGAGGAGGGGAGAGGAGGAGAGGAGTTACTGTTTGGAAGGGGAGTCCCCTTCCAATTTAACATCAGGCAGTGAGGACCTCTCAGGGGTGCATTCTCTGGCACGTTTTGCCTGCATACCACTAGGTCCTGGTTGTGGCTCACTGCTCGATGTTCTCACAACATATCTGTCCATTGAAGCTTGTTTTTCCCCTTCTGCGCAAGATGTCTCTGCAGTGAGGCATCACATTGTCATTGAAAAGATTAAGGCAACGGCCTACTACAGCTTTCTCTGGGTGAGTCTTTTCAATAAAAGTTTGAATCTCTTCCCACATCTGACACACCTTCTTAATTTCTGCAGAAGGGACATTCGCTACTGCCTCATCCTCCTCCACTGGAGAATCATCAGCTCGGTCGTCTTGCTGTTCCTTTTGAAGGGCTTGGAGTTCTTCGTTGTGTTCTTCCACCAACTTCTCCACATCATCACCATCCAATTCCAACCCCTTTTGCCGGTCCAGATTAACAATTTCCTCAATAATAGGTGCATCATTTACAGGCTCAATCCCCTCAAAGTCTAGTAATGTCACACATTCAGGCCACAATTTTCTCCAGCCAGAGATCAGGGTTCTTTGAGTCACTTCTTGCAAGGCTTTGTCAACGAGTTTTAAAGCACTACAAATGTTAAAATGGTGTTTCCAGAACTCTTTGAGGGTGAGGTTTGTGACTTCAGTCACTTCAAAACATTTCCGGAAAAGTGCCCTTTCATAAAGTTTCTTAAAATTTGCTATGATTATCTGGTCCATAGGCTGAATTAGAGGAGTGATGTTAGGAGGAAGGAACTTTACTGTGATAAATTTATTGTATCTGGGCAACAAATCATCTTCCAAGCCTGGAGGATGAGCAGGCGCATTGTTGAGGAGAAGCAGGGCCTTGAGTGGCAAATGTTTCTCCTGCTGATATTTTTCTATGACAGAGCACACCACTTCATTCACCCACTCCGTAAAAATAATCCTAGTCACCCATGCCTTATTATTAGCCTTCCACATCACACACATTTAGGTTTTGTGCACTTTATACTGTTTGAAAACCCTTGGATTTTCAAAATGATACACTAGCAAGGGTTTGATTTTCAAATCACCACTCGTATTTAAACACAGCACAAGCGTAAACCTATCTTTCATAGGCTTGTGTCCGGGCAATGCTTTTTCCTCCTTGGTAATGTATGTCCTCTAAGGCAATCTTTTCCAGAACAGTCCTGTTTCATCACAATTAAACACTTGTTGCGGTAGGTAACCCTAAGCCTTTGCAAACTCCTTAAATTCTTCAATAAATTTCTCAGCGGCTGGTTTGTCTGAGCTGGCAGCCTCCCCATGGCTCACAACACTATGAATACCACTTCTTTTTCTAAATTTCTCAAACCATCCCCTGCTTGCCTTAAAGTCTCTTTCTGCACTCGTTCCACGGGTTTTCTTTATAAGGTCTTCGTGCAATACCCTGGCTTTCTCACAATTGATGGCCTCCGAAACACTATCACCCGCTAACTCCTTGTTGTGTATCCAAATTAATAACAACTTTTCCACTTCCTTAAGTATTTGTGGTCTTTGTTTCGTGATTGTTGATACTCTTTTTGCCACTTTGGCATGCATAATGTCCTTTTTCTTGGAAAGTATAGTGCATATCGTTGACGTGGATTTGTTGTACTACCTACAAAGTTCAACAACACATGCACCATTTTCATGCTTCCGAATAATCTCTTGCTTTTCCTCTATTGTCATCCTCACATGCGATTTCTTGCCTTGAACCTTACCATTGGCTTTCTTGGGACCCATTGCGATGTATATTATAACAAATTTTATGTTCAAATAACAAAAACTTCGAAAATAAATGGTAAATCCTTGTGAAGAATTCAGGCGGGATAGTCACTGGGTGCGAGGCACTGGCAAACTGAGCGGCGATCGCCGAGCCACCACGCGCTAGGTCGGCCCGTACGCGTAACCCATCAACAAACTCGTATCCTGAGGCAACCCTCGTAATCTAAACGATGCAAATTTTCCGAGAGAAATCCTGCTCGTAAGGTTCCGAAAAACTCGTAACCAGGGACGCTCGTAAGCCGAGGTACCACTGTAGCATACCTTTAGACTTTCTTTAACTTCATCTTGTGTTCGATTAGATATGGGCTTTATGCTTCATGCAATATACAAGGTCGAGATTTACATTACCCTTATTTTCATTACTTTACACTTACTTGCAATAAACATTAGTAGCCATTTGTATGATCATTCAGTTTGCTGAAATGATGAATGATCTTTCATCATTCTTTCAGTTTGTTCCAGTCATCTTGTAGTCTCTTGCTATCTTCCTGTGTCTTAATCCTTTTCATAATTTTAGTATCATCAGCAAATATTGAGAGGAATTAGTCTATATCCTCTGAAAGATCATTTATGTATATCAGAAACAGGAGAGGTTATGTCCAAGTACAGAAACCTGTGGGACTCTACTGGTGACATCTCGCCATTCTTAGATCTCCTGCCTCATAATAGCTCACTGTTTTCTACTGATAAGGTACTCAGTTATCCACTGGAGCACATTACCTGTTACACTTGCTTGTTTCTTCAACCTAGGTGCCAGCCTCTTATAGGTTACTGTATCAAAGGCTTTCTAACAGTTCATGAAAATACAGTCTACCCATACAGTACTTCTCTTTCTTGCCTAATTTTTGTCACCCGATCATAAAATTCTATTATACCTGTGAGGCACAATTTACTATCTCCAAACCTGTGTTACAAAGTTTCATCTGTCCAGATGTGCTACTAGCTTTTTCTTATTATCTTCTCTTAACACTTTTCATGGTATACAAGTTAGAGATACTGGCCTTTAGTTCAGTGCTTCCTACCTGTTATTTGTTTGTAAAATGGAACTTCTCTCTTACTCTATTGTGAAAATCTCCAGGAATATCTTGTAGAGTTCTTCACATCCTCTTTGTCATTCTCTCTGCACCTGACCTCCCCTTTTCTCAATTTAATTGCCTGTTCTTTCAGTGCTGTTTTTCTCCTGATGTGGCTGTGGAGAAGTTTTGGTTTGGGTCTTAGCTTTATTTGCTATGTCATTTTCATACTGTTTGTCCACTTCTTTTCTTACACTGAGGTACTCATTCCTCACCCTCTGGTAGTCCCCTCTTCTCTCTACTCTGCTATTTTGGTAGTTTCTCCATGCCCTTAAGCTTGATTGCCTTGTTTCCTTACATTCCTGTTTGAACAATGGATTTCTCTTTTCCTTTTGCATCGGATAAACTTGTCTATTGCCTCCTGACACTTCTGGGTGATGTGGTCATCATGTCTATTGTGTATAATTATGTCTTGTACAGTCTTTTTATTGAGTTCTATTTCCTATGGTATTTCCATTAGGAATTTTCTCATCTCATCATAGTTCCTCCTTTATTATGCCAGCCCTTTGCTTTCTGGTCCCTTCCTTGGGTAGGTTATTCCTACTTCTACCCGATAATCAAATGTTAGTACACTGTGGTCACTCATTCCCATGGGAGCTTCTAATTTGACTTCCTTTATGTCTAACTCATTCAGTGTAAATATCAGGTTTACCTTAGAAACCTTAGAAAGTTTCTCGTTGCTATGTCAAATACTTTAGTTGTCCATGTATATGTACCTCTATGTGGTTCTCTGTTCTAGCTTTCCATGGTTGAAGTTTCCCATGTGATTAACAATCTGAATCCATTCCTGCAGGTGACAGAAGCTGCTCTCTTTATTATATTAATGGTTGCCATGTTGTTTCAATCATAGTCTTCTCTTGGTCTTCTGTCATTTAGTGGAGTCTTATACATTACTACTAAATACAGTATTTTCTTGTAGATATATTGCATTCATGTGATTTCCTTGTGGAGGACTGAAAACTTGCCAACTTTGTTAATATGGCACTCTTTCCTCGTTATCATATTAACTTTATCCAAGCATATTACAGTACAGAGTTTATACAATTTATTATAAGAGTTTTGTTAATGTTTTGTTGTCTAATGTTTTATATATAATCACTGAATTTGAGAGCTTAAATACTAAAATGAACTCTTTATTCTAGGGTGAATCTATTTCTCCAAGAAATTCCTCTTCCTTTCACAGATAAAGGACCAGGACACTAAAAAGAACCCAATGCTAGATGTAGCCCAAGCTGCACGTGTTGATAGTGACAACATAAATCCAAGATACAATGCAAAGGCTGTCAAGGACAAATTGGAAGAACATAAACCAAAACCATTCAGAAACAAGATTTTTTTTCAGCAAAAGAAACTAGATATTCCTGGAGAAGACTATGAAGATTATTATGATGATCCTGATTATGAAGACGTTTCTGATGACGAGAAACAAGGAGATGAAGAAGGGAAGTGGAAAGGCAGGAATAGAATTGAGGATGATAATAATGCTATTGAAGAGGAGGATGATCCAGGTGCTCCTAAGGTTGACGTTAAATTAGAAGATATTGGTGGTAAAGCCTTAAAGAAAAAGAAAGGTAAAAAGAAGCACAGGCATCCTAAGGTAAATATGGAAGCAGAGAACAATGATAAAAATTTAGTTAGGGTAAATCGGCAAATTAGGGTAGACAGTGGCATGCCAGGAAAACACAATTTTGAGGCAGGAGTGCAAGGTCAAATGATGTTAGAAAATAAAAAAGTTTTTGTTGTAAATGATGCGCCTGATTTAGAAGGTGACTTGGAATCTATTGAAAATATTATGGTTGCACGAAGGTCAAGAGTTAAGGAAGTGTGTAGAAAGTATGGCCTTGGACCCAATGCAGTTCCTGGCAGACCAAGACTAAAACATCCACCAACGCCCAACCATGAAGTTTTCTACATCGACAGGTGAGACCGTGAATTCATTCCTTACTAATTATTCAGAATTCTCAATTCTCTGTAAAAATATTACTAAAATTTTGTTCCTTCTCCAAAATACCACAGCCTGAGTGGAAAGATAAAAGAGCACAGAAAATCTTAAGGTTTTTTATTACCTGGTTGATGGGGTTCTGGGAGTTCTTCTACTCCCCAAGCCCGGCCCGAGGCCAGGCTTGACAACCTATATTGAGACCATATACAGATCACTCCCAACTGTATGCCAGAGAATTTAATGTAGACCATTACAACATGAGGTACAAATTTATTAATCAAGTTTTAATTGGTTATCTATATTTACAAGAAATTACAATGGATTTTTTGCAAAATTGAGTGTAAAATGTTCTTTCTGGCAGAGCCACTACCTTAACAGGTATGTCATGACGATTGAGTCTGCTTGATGCTAATTGTCAGCACCAAGAATGTCATGTTATTCTCAGAATTTGGCAATTGAAAATGCTTTAAATGTATAAATGTTGGTTTTCAAAGAAAATTTTAGAAATGTCAATAAGACACCCAATCACCTTGTTTTAACATTGTTTTAATTTGAAGGGCATACACTTGAGCATCATCTAGTCTTCCTTGGTATGGTGAAATTATACTTTGTGTTTAGAACTTGCAAAAGTTCTACACAATTATCAACAGGCCATGAGCACAGTAGTGTATGTTCTCATCATAGCAGTACCAGGGTTCAATACCAGGGTGGGACAGACACAGTTGGGCACATTTCCTTTCATTTGACGCCTGTGTTCACCTAGCAGTTAATAAGTACCCGTACGAGGAGTTAGGCAACTGTTGTGAGTTGCATCCTGGGGGAGGTCAATAGTTGGCCTAGGGGGACCTCAATAAGCCAAGTACAGGATTCCTGTCCTCGACAATAGGGATTAATCGTTATAAACAAATGTAGATTCTTTATCAAGAAAAGTTGGCTAATAACAAGTGATTCAAGAAGGGTGAGAGCCAGTTATAGCCTTACTTGTACTACTCAATTCTTAAGATTAAACTTAAATTGTATAGTATAAACCTTAAATGTTTTCCCAAATATCTATCTAAATATCCAATAAGCTTTAACAATATAACAAGATCATATATGTTACTTTAGCTCTAAGATTTACCTGGAATGTTGTATGTAATTGATAGTCTTGTAACAAATACTGGTCATTATAATATGCAAGTACTGTACTTTAATTCAATATTATTTTATGTATACAGTACAGTATTATCTTATAAATATAGTATTACTGTATTATTATTTAACAAAACCAATAAGTGGCCATATAACATACAAATTTAATTTTTCTAAAAATTGTCTGCATAATTAGGGGGGCTTTATAAGATAAATTTAAATACAACATGACTATACATAGGGTCTCAGTATTACAGTTGCGTTCATTCTTGACTCACAATCATGAACCTCGGGTTCAAATCCCAGGTAGGACAGAAATGGTTGGACAAGTTGCTATCGCTTAATGTTCACCTCGTAGGACCAATTGGGCTGGACGGTAGAGCAACAGTCTCGCTTCATGCAGGTCAGCGTTCAATCCCCGACTGTTCAAGTGGTTAGGTACCCTTCCTACAACCTGTCCCATCCCAAATCCATATCCTGATCCCTTCCAAGTGCTATACTGTATAGTCATAATGGCTAGGTGCTTTCTCCTAATAATTCCCTTTCATAATGTTCACCTAGCAGTAAATATATACCTAGAACACTATAGTTAGTTGTTGTGGGGTTACATTATGGGGAGGGTCAGTAGTTCCACCTTGGGCGAACCTTGATATATGCCTAACATATACTGCACATATACACAGACTGCCTGTCCCCAACAAAATTGAATACAGTATATACACCTACTCTGTAACATATAATATATTTATACACCCTCTATGTAACATCATCTGCTGTATGCTCACAAAAAAAGATAATAAAGATGTTTATGTATGGTTTTTAATAATTTGTTCCTGCATTAAAGCTCTATAATGGCCATTTTTTATAACAAAACATTATTAAATTAGATACACATTATATCTTGTGTTGCAGACACACTGTTTTTGGTACTGGGTGTATTCTGTAAAAATATAGTCTACATAATCAAAATTGTCCTGAAACAGTAGCTTTATTTCCTTTAGTTTTATGTTTTTTATATTTTTTTTTTACCCATTAACTTTTTATAATGCTTGCACATCTTATGTATTCAACTGTATGTGTTAATATCCTCAGACCAGACCGGCTTGCATGGTGTCCTATATACAAGGCAGCATCAACATCTTGGCTGTACAACTTCCTCCGGCTAGCTAGTCTGTCTGAGAGTTACGTTCACAACACCAAGGAGCAAGTGTCTCATGTTGCCAGAAGAGTCTGGCCATCCCTCGACTATGAGAATGCTAAACAGGTGAGGGTAGAAGAAATGGCAAATGCAGTACAGTATTATCATTAATAAAATGACTTGATGGAGAAGAAAATATGATGAGAAAATTAACAAGATTGGCAAGTCATGATGATTTAAATGCTACTGGCTGGAATTCAGGTGTACCTTTCTTTTTCTTTTTGTATTTGCTTCTAATGAGTCTTTAATGATTATTATATTTATATTATATAACATAGCAGTTAACCCCCTAGACTTTAGTCGTCATAATATTGTCATAATATTCTATTGTCATAATAAAATATCTATGTACCTTTATTTGAACCAGGGCTGTGGTAAGCATATTAATTTTCATGTGAAATATATACAAAAGTAAATAATCTTTACACAAAACACTCTGTGTAAACACTCTATGCAAATAAAGGGACCCAGTTTATGGAACTCACTCCCTATTGAATTGAAAAGCTGTCCAACTTTTACATCATTCAAAATCAATACTAAAAAGTACCTAATTTCATCTTCATAGTTTTTCACCTTTTGCCTTAAAATTGCACTGTATCTATTGCTACCCAATCTCCCAACCTTTATGTTCCCAATTTGAACATCTTCACCATTGTGATCATTGCTGTCTTCTTATATGTGCTGCCAATCTGCTGTATGGTGTTTATTAATCTTGTTTATCTGTATATATTGCTACCCAGTCTCCCAATCTGAGCTTCTTTACCATTGTGATCATTGCTGTCTTATATGTGCTGTCAATCTGCTGTATGGTGTCCATTGTTTAAATTACCAATCAAGCTGTCAATGTAATCAATTAGAGCTTTAATATAACAATGTGCTTTAATACACTTACTAAACTCTCTCATCTCATTTTTATCTTGCATTGTATTTGTTATCATTTATCAATTCTGATAGAAATTATCTACTTAATATTATCTGTTAGATTAAGGACCTACCCGAAACGCTGTGCGTACTAGTGGCTTTACAAGATTGTAAATACTGTACTATCCAATATATTCTCACAAACCCAATGTACCTTCCTGTATATAAATAAATAAATAAATAAATAAATAAATAAATAAATAAATAAATAAATAAATAAATAAATAAATAAATAAATAAAAGTAAGATAAATGTCAAAATAAAAAACATTAAATTAACACACCACATCCTCGCCACAGTCATCACATCCTTGCCACAACCACCACCACATTCTCACCACAACCTCCATATCCTCACTACAACCACCACATCTTTACCACAACCACCACATCCTACCACCACCACATCCTTCCTACTACCACCACCAAAACTACATCCTCCTTGCCACCACCACATCCTCCCTGCCACCACCACATTCTCCCTGCCACCACCACATTCTCCCTGCCACCACCACATCCTCCCTGCCACCACCACATCCTCCCTGCCACCACCACATCCTCCCTGCCACCACCACATCCTTCCTGCCACCACCACATCCTCCCTGCCACCACCACATCCTCCCTGCCACCACCACATCATCCCTGCAACTACCACATTCTCCCTGCCACCACCACATCCTTCCTGCCACCACCACATCCTCCCTGCCACCATCACATCCTCCTTGCCACCACCACATCTTCCTTGCCACCACCACATTCTCCCTGCCACCACCACATCCTCCTTGTCACCACCACATCCTCCCTGCCACCACCACATCCTCCTTGCCACCACCACATCTTCCTTGCCACCACCACATTCTCCCTGCCACCACCACATCCTCCTTGTCACCACCACATCCTCCCTGCCACCACCACATCCTCCTTGCCACCACCACATCCTCCCTGCCACCACCACATCCTCCCTGCCACCACCACATCCTTCCTGCCACCACCACATCCTCCCTGCCACCACCACATCCTTCCTGCCACCACCACATCCTCCCTGCCACCACCACATCCTCCCTGCCACCACCACATCATCCCTGCCACCACCACATTCTCCCTGCCACCACCACATCCTCCCTGCCACCGCCACATCCTCCCTGCCACTACCACATCCTCCCTGCCACCACCACATCCTCCTTGCCACCACCACATCCTCCTTGCCACCACCACATTCTCCCTGCCACCACCACATCCTCCCTGCCACCACCACATCCTCCCTGCCACCACCACATCCTCCCTGCCACCACCACATCCTCCCTGCCACCACCACATCCTCCCTGCCACCACCACATCCTCCCTGCCACCACCACATCCTCCCTACCATCCCAACATCCTCACTACCACCACCACTACATCCTTGCCACCACATCCTTGCCACCACCACCACAACATCTTTGCCACCATAACTACCAACATCCTTGCCACCACCACTACCACCACTACACCCTCACCACCACTACATCCTCCCTACCACCGCCACCACCACATCCTTGCCACTACCATCACTACATCCTTGCTGCCACCACCACCACCACATCCTCGCCACCACCACCACCACCACCACCACCACCACCAGAACATCCTCGCCACCACCACCACAACATCCTCGTCACCACCACTACAACATCCTTGTCACTACCATCACCACATCCTTGCCACTACCATCACTTCATTCTTGCCACTACCACCACCACATCCTTGCCACCACCACCACCGCCACCACATCCTCACCACCACCACCACAACATCCTTGCCACCACCACCACCACATCCTTGCCACCACCACCACAACCACAACCTTGCCACCACCACCACAACATCCTCTCCAGTACCACCACAACAACATCCTTGCCACCACCACTACAACATTCTTGCCACCACCACTACAACATCCTTGCCACCACCACCACAACATCCTCGCCACTACCACCACAACATCCAAAGTGCTACCCCACCTGTTCTAACGACCGGGTCGGGGGCATTGCCCACCGGATATTTTGTGTCGGCGCCATGGGGTCCCCCCCTTCCCCTATTCGCCGTTCAGAAACTATTGGTCTGGAGTTTTCTGGGCGTGCATCGTGCCTTGCTATTGAGGTTCTTCTACTGAATATAGTATGTGTTCGTGTGCCCGATGTGTATGGACTCCAGCTGTTAACTACCCACCGGGTGCCTGTTAAGTTTCACTCCGCGGCTGTGTATCGAGAATTCGTGGCCTGCTATGATGGGCAATAGTTTACCCTCCCTGGGGACTGCATAGTGTGCCCTTCGAGTTCATTGAGGCCCTGTTTCGGAGGTACTTTGGACAGTTTGGTATCGTGGTTTCCCTCTGTATGAACTCCGTCTCTTCTGGCAGGTGGTGCGGGGTCTCGTGTGGTACCAGGACTATCACCATGCGGCTCAAGTCACCTGATTCATCTTCGGTTACATTGCCGGGCTACACCATACGTGCTTTTTATGCAGGGCAGCCCAGATCATGTTTTCCTTGTGGCCTTGAAGGGCACCAGGTGGCCGCTTGTACTGGGGTAGCGACTGCACCTGTTAACTTGTTTAGGGAAGAGGATTTTTCCCTGTTGGTGGCTCAAGACCTGTCGCTGTGTAATGGAGTTGGTGGGGAGGCTTCCCTGCCATCTGTTGACCCGGTGGTGTTACCTGGTTCCCCAGCTGGTGTGCCTGTGACTACGGGTGGTGGTGTGCATGACAGGGGTGGTGGTGTGTGCGGCCCCGCCCCCACCTCGCTTCAGAAGGATTCCTCGCTTAGACACGCCTCTTCTCCACGGGCTCCCTCACTTATGCTGGTCTCTTCCCTTTCGCCAGAAGCGTCTGTTATTTCTCCAGTTACAGTCTCCTCTGTGGGTGGCGGCCTCGTCCCCAATGTCGTTGAGGCTGACATTCTGAGGGGTCGTGCTCCCCCCAGCTATGGGGTAGCCTGACGATGGCTCTTCTCGGGCGCCTCCTGCAGGGGGTGATAGCTCCGACGATTAACGACCGGATCCTAAGCGTTCTCGTTCGGATAGGGGTGCATCGCCTCCTTGTGCGTGGGCTGAAGAATGTGAGGTTGAGGAGTGTGATGTAGACACTTCTGTGAGCTATTTCTCTGTGGAGTGCGAGGATGGTGTACTGAGAGCTGGTGTAGTTCCGGAGAGTGGTGTGGGCCCTGGTATGGCACCGGTTGTCGGGGTAGGGGCCGGTGTGGGGCCCTTGGGTCCTTCTTCGGGTGCCTCGCACGTGTCTGTTGGTTCCGGATCCTTGTGGGGGATGGTTTCCCCTGCCGGGGGTGTTGGTGAGTGTAGTGGACTCGTGGTGGTCCTGAAGAAGGCTGCTTGCCTGGTGGGGTCCGTGCCTGCACCCCCTATTCCGTTGGCGGCGGTCTTGCCCCCTCTCCAGTCTCCGCCCTCTTCTTCTGTGCCTCCTGCTAGGTGACAGTATTGCTGCCTCTCCTGTCTCCGCCCTCTTCATCGGTGTCTCCTGCTTTGGCGGCGGCGGTGTTACTGCATCCCCAGTCTTGCCCATCCTCTTCTTTGTCTTCTGCTCGGGGGCATCCGCCTCCGCCCGAGCTTCCTCCTGATTTCGTGGTGCCGGACTACATACTACGCCCGCAGTGTCTACTCAACTGACCGGGACTGGTTACTGTGGGAGGCTTATGAGAGTAAGTTTCCATGGAAGGAGTACCCTGAGAAATATGATGCTTATGAGACTTAGTGCCTGTATTCCTGTTATTATATACTCCATGTCTTTGTTTTTGTTGCCGTGTCTGCTGTTCTATGTATGTTTGTCTCCGTGTTTGATTTTACCCTGTTGAGCGGTGTGTTTGTTTGTGTGTTCAGTGTGCATTTCTGGTTGTGCTGTGGTGTTTGTGTCCTGTGTGTGCTTTGTGTTCTGTTGGTTGTGTTGTTTCTAAGGATGTTGGGTGTGTGAGTGTGTAAGTTTTTTCCCGGTCCCTGCATGTTTTGGTTTTGCATTACTGTCTGTGTTGGGTTTTTGTTCTGTCTGCGTGGACCTTCAGGCTGGCTTGTGTAACTAGTTAAGTCATTGTTATTTTGTAAAATGTCATTTCAGTGTTTTTTCCGTGTTTCCTGTTGTGTGCTTGTTTTGTTTTTCAGT